GGGGGTGGGGATGGGGTCCCTGGGGGAGGTGTCTCAGAAATATCTGCCCATGGTAGACCCTGGCCTGCACCCAGGTCCTCTCCCACACCACCCACCCTGCTGTGGGGAGGCTCCGACTTACCATCAACCCTGGGGAGTCCCCAGCCTGTTACAGTGCAGAGGGCGTGGTCCTTTAGCACATAGTCCAAGCCAGGCAGGCAGATGGGCCAGACATCCTTGTTGTACTTGAGTGGCCGCTCAAGCTTAAGGAGGGCAATGTCATTGGCCCAGCCGACCCCGGACCAGTACCGATGGGACCGATAATGGCTGTTCACGATGACATGCTGCGCCAGGACGTCGACAGTAGACTTGGATATCTGGTCAACCCATGGACTCCCCACCCACACTGAATAGGTAACATCACTCCTAGGGGAACAGCGAGGAGAGTCCTCCATCAGCTCCAAGAACCCCACCCCAGCCTGCACCCCCTACCCTCCACCACACTGTTGCACCCTGAGCAAATCCAGGTAGGCCACCCACCTGCTTCAAGCCCCAGAGCCCACTCCTCACGACAGATGTGAATGGGGCCCTGCACACACACTGTGTGGTCCAGTCCTCACAACAACCCTTCATTTTATGGAGAGGGAAAATGGGGCTCAAGTGACTGACTCAAGGCTACACAGCTAAGAAGTGTGGAGCTGGGACGTGGACCAAGTTTTCTCTGGTTCCAAACTCTGGACTCTGTCCAGCATCCCATGCTGGGCCCTGGAAGTGACAGAGACCTTGTGCAATCAGCCCTGCCTTGCCCTCCAGCCTACTTTCTCAGCGTGTCCCTTAGGCTTGGAGCTCGCTTCTCCACTGGTCAGCCCTCATGGCCAGATGTGACCCTCAGGCCGCTCCCTGGCCCCAGAACATGGGCATGCCCACTCTCTCATCCCCACACTGACCAGACTCCCATGTGAGCATCCATCTTCTTGTCTGTCTTCCCCAGCAACCTGAGAGGAGTGGTGCAGCCCTTTTCTGCCCCCAGTGCCCAGGCCAGGCCTGGCTTCAAAGAGTGCCAAGGCTGTTGGCTGAATGAAGGAAGGAATGAGTAAGTGAAACAAAGTGTGTGGAGCAGAAGAATTAGGACATTCTTTCTGTGGATAGGAGGAAGGAGGCCTAGACAGTGGCTGCAAGCCTCCGTTTCCTATCTATGGAATGACTGCACAGGACTGGAGGGGGCCAGGTGAGGGGAGGAAACCCCCAGCTCCCAGGAAGGAATCTGCAGGACTCATCCCCCACCTGCTCAGAGCTAGGGTGAGGTGGGGCTAGGACTATGGCGTCTGCCACTGATGGGCCAGCTGGCAAGATGACTGGGGCCCTGGTGGCTCCAATGACTTTCCACCCATCCATCTAGGCCCCGACTCACTGGATCATGCAGTGGGCCACGGTCAGCACCCACTCAGAGGCAATGAGGGTGCCTGCACAGATATGTGTGCTATTGGCCCGCACACTGACCATCCATGGCCACCGCTGAGCCATGGCCTCCGGATCCCTGAGGGTGGTATCCCGCTCATAGGAGAAGCCACAGGCTAAGGAGGAAAACGAAAGGAGCTTGATAACCAATGGGCCCTTCCAGTCACATCCCCCAGCACCTCTCCCTCCTCCTCCCCTCAGCCTGATCGCCCACCTCTCCAGCTGGCCTGCTCCCATCCAATGATGCTCCTTCTTCATTGGTCATCACATAACGATGTTGTTCACATGAGGACTGGGGTCTCCAGCCTCGGAAGGGCCTCAGCACTCCCCAGGTATCCCTCTCTCTGGCCCCGCAGCTTAGGCCCCGGGGCGTTCCGAGCTAACCAGCCTGGTGCGCCACTAGCTCCTTTGTCCTGGTCAAGCAGACATCAGCTCTGGCCAGGCCCTTCACAAACCCATCTGTGTTTCCATCTGGTTCCCTTACTTCAGCCAAGGAAGACCCCTCCCCCTCCTCTAGGATCCTTCTCCTGTGATTCAGTGAGAGAAAGGCAGGTGACCTAAGAGAAAAATGGGTAGTGTGCATGAACACACATCTGAGGACGAAATCCCAGTAGCAAACAAACGCAGAAGCTTTTCAGTCCCATTAGTCCTCAGGGAAGTGTGGACTTAAATCACAGTGAGGTTCTGCTCACCATCACCTGCCAGGCAAAACTAAATGTCCCTGATAACAAGTGTTGGTGAGGAGCACGGCCCCAGACTGCTCACTCACTGCTGGAGGGAGGGTCAATGGGTGCAGCCACTTTGGAAAAGTTTTTAGAGAAAAAGTTCTTTAAACTGAAGATGCACATATCCAACACCACAGCAGTTCCGCTCCTACATGTTCCAAATGGACTAGAGGATCATGAGATCAATGTAAGTGGGCTGTCACCAGCGGCTGTAAAGGCTAACGCAGGAGAGGGAATAGCAGCATGCACAGCAGGGTGCAGCTGAGACCTGTGTGTGACTTTCTGTGACAGTTAAATTCTGTGCACTCAGTTCCAGGATGAGAAGTATTTCTTATGTGGGTCTTACTTCAACATGCTTGGAAGCCACTGATGGAGAGAATGTCTTGTGGGTGTGCCCCAAGACACACAAGGGAAGGCTCCCTGAAAGCCATGCTGGAGACCCCCAAAGGCCTTGGCTGGGAGCCTGGATCAGGGACTGGGCCGGATGGAGAGGCGCTGTCCCCATAGACCATTCAGGGAGGCAGGACATGAGCACATCCCAGGCTCCCCCCACCTTCCTTGCCTCCTACCTCAACAGCATGGGAGGCCTGGCCCACAATAGGTGCTCAGTAAGCACTGGTAAAAGGAAGGTCCCCTCTCACTCTCCGTGCCCCTTCTTCTGCTGTCCCTTAAGGTCCTCAAGGCTGCTTGGGCACCCTCCTCCCGCGTGGAGGCCACAGTACTCACGGGGAAGGAACTCATCCTCGTCAGTTTTAGAAGCAGAGTACTGCAGGGTCCTGGGCGGCTCGCTAGTGGCAGCCTGCCGGGTGAAGCGACGTCCGCCTGAGGGACAGGTGGCACTGGGGGCACAGGGGGCGTCAAGGTCGGCGGGGGCATCCGTGGACAGTGCCCCCGGCACTTCGTCAGCGCCCAAGCAACCTGTGGAAGGACGCAGAGGATCAGAGGTGGAGGCCAGGCCTGTGGGAGGAGGGGCGGGGGCGGGGCTCACCCGCGGGCCGCAGCAGCAGCAGCAGCAGCAGCAGCAGCAGCAGCAGCAGCGGTAACAGCATAGCATCAGCAGGAGCCCGGCGTGGGCAAGGGCGGACGTTCGGGGGCTGCGGGGGACTGTGCCTGCTAGCCAGCGCCCCACACCAGAGACCCATCCCCGAGAAGCAGCGAATAAGCCTCGGCGCTCCTCTTGCGACGCCGCTCCCGGGGCTCGCCCCACGACGGCGCCCCCCACTGGCAGCCAGCGGCAGCTTCTTTTGTGTGGTGGTCGCGGGCGCGGGCGCTCCCGACCCCGTCCGCGCGGCGCCCCCCAGTGGCCCCCCCGCCCCCCACGCGATGGTGCTCCTGGTGTCCCAGCCACCCTCTGTCTGGCTTGCTGGTGCTCAGGACTGCCTGGCTTCTGGCCACGCCTCTGCCTTCCTGGGACCCCGTGTCTGTGTCTCCCAGTCGGCCTGGCCCAGCAGTTTCCTGGAGTCCCTTAACCTCACCTCGGCAGGTTCTTGCACCTCCTCCTCCGGCAGCCCACTTCCAATCTCTACCCGGTGAGATGAAGGCCCAACCCCTGGGGCTGGCATCCGGGATTTCCACGCGGTCCCACCTGCCCTCCAGCCTGGTAATTACGGTGGGGCCTTGCCCCAGGGCACTGAAATTAAGCAGATTAAAATGTTTTCAATAATAATTTTTCAAGAGTGCATAATTTTTTTTATTTATTTATTTTTTTTTTTGCGGTACGCGGGCCTCTCACCGTTGTGGCCTCTCCCTCCGCGGACCACAGGCTCCGGACGCTCAGGCCCAGCGGCCATGGCCCACGGGCCCAGCCGCTCCGCGGCATGTGGGATCTTCCCAGACCAAGGCAGGCGACGAACCCCCGTCCCCAGCATCGGCAGGCGGACTCCCAACCACTGCGCCACCAGGGAAGCCCAAGAGTGCATAATTTTAAGCACTGTCGCCATTCAGCAAATGCCCTTCCCTTACAGATCCATCTGCTTAGAAAGATGACACAGGTGAGGTTTCCATAAACAGAGAAAGAGGGATAGTAACCATTGGGCCCTTCTGGAGCAGAAGGCCACTTGGTATGTTGGAATTTGGGGAACATTTTGATGGCTCAGTGACACAGATGGATAATACAATTAAAAAGTAGTCTGCGGAAATCCTATGAGAAGCTTTGGTTCAAAGCTGTTGGAAAATTCTAGCCTAATAAAAGATAAGGTGAAAGTTAAATCAAGCCAGGACAATCTAACATTTGCCAGGTCCTGCTGTCTTGGGAGAGACAATAGGGCTGGCCATTCAGGACTCCAGTCTCCTGCAAACCACACCTACTACACTCTGGACCCCAAGGGCAAGGGTAGCTGGCCACTGTGAACCTGAGGCCTACCAGGTCTGAGGGGGCGCCCATGCTACCTTCCACAAGGGTGGCAGAGCGCTGCCCTCTCAGTCTGGCTAGCTTGCGCCTGTCCTTCCTCTTCAGAGTATGATGGAGGTGACTAAGGCAGTTCAGGAGCTCAGGGTGCAGTCACCTCACACAGTCACCTAAGCAGGCACTCTGCCTTGCCCCTCCCTGTCCCCCATCATCACCCATCCCTGCCAGGGAGAGAGGAGGAACCAGTCAGGTTCTGTAGACTCCTAGGGTGATATGAGGGCTTGGGAGAGGCCCACATGTTCTGGAACCAGGTCCACAAGTGCAGGTCTGGTCATTGTGAGTTTCTTGGGAAGAGGCCAACCCTCACAGTAAGGCCTGAGGGAAAACTGTTGGGTTAGAGACCCAGGAGAGAGTCATGGGGACCTGGGGATTGCTGGAGTGCTGGGATGACTAAGCAGGGAGTGAGATCACAAAGTCCAGCTCCATATTTGGCAGAAGAGGAAACTGTAGCCCAGAGAGGGGAACATGATGAGCACAAGTACAAGGAGGACTATCAGGGAGGCTCCCCCTGAGAGGACAGCCAGGCCTCTTGGGGGAGGGGAGGCTTTGAAGGGTCTGGCCATAATCAAGAAGAAAGATGATGATTTCAGTGACACAAAGTTCAAGAGCATCTTCATTGAACAACTGCAAAAACAGTGGCTCTGGGACCCTCCCCCAGAGTACTCTGCCCTGACGTCCTGTGCTCCTCCAGCCTCCACTTCTCCTGAGGACAGACAGAGGGGAGGAAGAAGTGGCCTCCGGGAGGGACCGCCTGGAAACATCACTCACAGGAGCCACGGGGAGCCCAAGGAAACCAGCAGAATGTAGCCAGCGAGGAAGACCAGGCTCAGGAAGCCTGGCCCGGCCCTACTGATGAACCTCACATCACTGATCTGTTTCTTGATCCAGTCGGTGAAGTGGGAGGTGCTGGTGTAGATGCCCGGGAAGCGGTGCCGGCTGCAGCTAAAGCTCCAGTTCAACACCCCCATCTGAACCCAGGTGTGGTTCACTTGGCAGACAAGGGAACTGCCAGAGTTACCCTGTGGAGGGGAGGAAGGGAGGCATAAAGGAGGCAGCAGGAAGGCCTCCCTGCAAGTTCTGGACAAATAAACTTGCACCTTCCCGGGCCATATCCTTAGCACGAGCTGTGTTAGGCCCGTGCTGTCCCTGATATCGACGCATGGCTATGAACCTGGTCTGTGACATGGAAGCACTGCACTGGGGCCCAAGCTCAGGATCACAGTGGGCTCTCTCTGCATTCCCCTGCTAACTCTCTGACCATAACTACCGGTGCCCTCCTCTGCCTTCTCTTTAAATCATGGTGGGCCTCCAAGGTGTTGCCCTTGACTTTCTTCTTTCCTACAATCCTGCTTACAGAATGAGCCATTTGAAATGCAAACCTGCCCCCTCTCTCTTTGTGCAAAGCAGGTGCATGTATAAGAATAATGTTTACAACAGCATACATCAAAAAGTAGTAGCTGTTATTTCTGCTGATGGTGGGTTTATGATTTTCTTAAAACTTTCTTACATTCTTCTGTATTGTTGAAAAGTTTTATAAATCTGAAAAACAGCTCATGCTCTCCCTCCCGCCCTCCCCCACATATATGTATATTTTTTAATGTAGTGTAAACCAAGATTTATAAGACATAATCTAATGAAGAGTTCATAAGACATGTAAGGAAAAAATAATAAAACTATACTTAAGAACACAAAAGAAGACCTACATTAATGTACAGATATACCGTTGTTCTTAGATGAAGCAACTTAAAACAATGTAAAAAAGTCAGTTCTCAACATTTGGCTTCCTACAGTATGGAAGACTAGATCCCCTTTCCCACCTTGTTGAAGATAACTAAACCTGTGAGATTTTAAATGCATGGGTGAGCTGGCAAGAAAATAAAGACGCCTCAGAGTGCAAAACCCAAGGGAGGGCTGAAACACAGAGCCATCAGCAAAGCCCAGAAGATGACTTTTGCCCCAAAGCCATAGGCCAAACCCAGTGAAAATGAGCTTTGGTTTTCACAGCCTCATTCGTGGGTGCAGAAGACAAAAGGCAAAACCCGGGGCCTGCCCAAGGAGGAGAGCCTAAGAGGAAACCTCCTGCAAAAAACTGTACCTCCCAGAAAGGACCACACCTTCCGAGCGACGATAAACTAGGAACACCTGCCCTCATGTGAACTTGCAACTTGAATTCACACTGTCTGGGTGGTTAAAAAAACTTGAGCCAAGAACGTCATTTAAAGAGGTCCTGGGTTGGTTTTATGTCCAGGTATCTGGCAGAAGCAAATATAGATTCTGACCAAAGGAACCCACTTTCAAGCCATGCTTCAGCGAACTCCCACAAAAGAGCACTCCAAAGAACATGTCCTCTTAAAACATCACCCTGCACACAGGGAAGCTGAGGCACCAAGAGCAAATGCCAGCCAGCAGAAAAAAACCAAAGCAGCATCAGAGCCTTCATGGTTTGAGATTCAGTAATCATCACGTGGAAGCCTCAAAGTTTCTGGTAATGCACTATTTTATAGGCTTGGTGCTGAGGGTATGGGTGTTGGTTGTGTTATTCTTTATTCTCCATACACATTTTATAAATATTCTTTTATCTGTATTCAACAGAGAGTGAAAGAGTCAAAAATTATAACAATGTCAGTTCTCCTTATGTTGACCTCTAAAGTTCAAGCGATTCCAAATAAAATGTCAGCAGGATTTTTTCAGGACCTTGACAATCTGATTCTAGAATTGATATTGAAGGATAATAGTCCATGAATTCTATGACAGGTTTGAGAAAAAAAGAGCAAATTGGAGGGGCTGGGGACTGGAGAAATATCTAAACAGAGTTAGATATATTTCAAAGCTATAATTATAGAAACCACAGTACTAGCATAGAAACTGAAAAATAGACCAATGGGGCAATGGAGAGCCAGCCAGATGCCTGCAGGTGGAGGAAACTTGGCACATGCTCCAGAAAGTGTCATGACTGTGAGAAAGGAGGTCTCTGCTGTAGATGGTGGAGAAACTGATGGAGAAAAATGAAGTTGGACCCTGCCATAACAAAACTCCAGAGGAAACAAAACTCTAAATGTGAAAAGTGAGAAAGATAAAGCTAATTAAAAATGTAGGGCCATGACTTTATGACTTGGGATGAAGCACATGTTTTAAAATAAGATAAAACCCCACAAACCTGAAGAGGGCAAATGTGTTAGGCTTAATTACATCAAAGTTAAGACCATCTGTTCAATGAAAGACACCAAATCTCATTGAAGATAGATGATGAATTAAGATAGGGCATTTTCTCTGTCTAAAACCAACTAGAGGTCAATTTTAGCCTATCTAAGGAAACCCTGAAAATTAACAAGCAGAGAAAGTGAGTTGAGGGAGACTTGAAGGTTTCCATGTCTAGGCTGACCCAGTTGTCAGCTCCCAGTGTCTAGACCCCCACGCTCCAGAGGAGGGAGATGGAGTAGGGCTTGGCAAAGTTTAAATCAAATTGACTTTTATTTATTTATTTATTTTTTGGTTGCATTGGGTCTTCATTGCTGCACGTAGGCTTTCTCTAGTTGCCGCGAGAGGGGGCCACACTTCGTTGTGGTGCCTGGGCTTCTTATTGAGGTGGCTTCTCTTGTTGCAGAGCACCAGCTCTAGGCACGCGGGCTTCAGTAGTTGTGG